GCCACAAAGTTTCAATCTCACTGTACGTGCCCGCCCGCACGTGGTATTTTATGGAAGTGCCACACTCAAGGGGCCAAAGAGCCGCATGTGGTTCGCGAGCCGAGGTTTGCTGACCATGGGCCTACTAGACCATTTCCAAATAAAATAGAATAGTGAAACATTAATTACTGAACATAGATTTATCTACTTTCTGCTTATTATAGAGGAACTAAAGATATTTGGGTCTGATATCATTGTAATTAACTAGTTATTAATAACAGAAAAGGAGCAAAGAGAAGACCAAATATAGGCATGTCATTTGGGCAGCTTGGCCAGGAAACTACAACTTCACACATCCCAGGGATCCGATGGAGGGGAGATAGTCACATGCCCAGTAATGTTGGGGTGACATAGGGAAGGTACTTGTTTGTCAGTCACAGGTGAGAACAGGTCACCGGGCAGAATAGGCTTGGCCACTGCAAGGGCATGAAATTTGAAATATTTAATCCCCTAACAAAGGAGTTTGCTCTATTGTGCTCTTGGTTTCTCTTGGCTCTTTTGGGACTCTTGTTGCTTGGGGCATGCTCTCTTGGCTCTCCTACAAGCTCCCCCATGGTCCAGGCCATGTGGACCCCCCCACACAATGGACTAATGGACTGTAACCAGCCTGATACTGATCTGGACCCGGCTGCAGCATGGGAAGGAGCTCTGGACACTGGCTTTGCTTTTAGCCCTACTGAAACCCCAGCTACACTTGTTCAGTGCCTGGAATGGGACTTTAGATAGCCAGGAATGTAATTTTGAAAAAAAAAAAAAAAGCTTTCTACCATATCTCACCCTCCCGTGGGAGCCTCCAGAAATGCTTATTCCAGCAGCACCTCAAGATCCCCACTCCCAATAGTAACAGGGAAAGTCCACCCATGCTTTTCTCCAATACCAGGTCCATTAGCAATCATGTCTAGTGACACATTAAAAAATGTGCTATGAGGAAATATATTTTTAGAAAATTTTAAATGTGTTTATAAATGTACCAACATAAAAAATACTGGTATAACAGATAATACACAATTATTTACTTCTTAGTTTTCACTAGAAATTAAGTTTTTTTTAGGTTATAAATTCTGATATATGTAATTAAAGCTACAGAAATTAAAAATAATAGAGAAAAGAACTGTATACAGAGAAATAGTGTATGTTTTGGCTTTTAGAAAATGGTATGAGATCTGAAGATGTGTTTTTGTTAAGGAAAGTGAAATAATTTTGTCCTGGTTATTTCTGAATGTGTGTGTATGTACTAAAAGGGACACAGAAAGTTTATGAAAAAGAAGTGTTGAAAAAGGAAGTTTTATGTGTGGTGAATAAGACTGAAATTTAATCAAGTAAATGAATTTAAATATCACAACTAAGGTGATACAAAATCACAGTCTGGTTCTCTGTGAAAAGGACTATTGGTCTGCTGCTGATACCGTGAAAACACAGAGAGCCACGATTCTGTGCTTTATCACGATAATTTCTGTTTTATATTGTCTCAATCAGGTCCTTGATTACTTAAGAAAATTGAACCTCCTCAGTAGTAACAACCAAGTTTTGCTAACCATTATGTAAACTTCTGTATTTCCTTCAAAAATTTTCATTGCCACTTTGGTCAAATGGATACGTAAGTATCACTTCATAATGACTTATGATCCTGTTTAGTCAAATGTTCAAACCTCTTTATATATTTTGACCAACTTCCCAAAATTTAAATTATAAATAAGAGTATTGACCAGGGAATGATTTTGAGGTGTTCCAGAAGGGCCCCTGGAACACCTCAAAAATCTGTTTTCTCTCCTTATAAAAGAGAAATGTTAAACAAATTAGGCTTATTTTGGTGTGTTGAAATTACATGGGAAGCATTATCAAATAAAAAAAATAACATTGAGCCTTCTTTATGTTGTATTTATATGTTTATGTTATAAATGTTCTAGAAATATATGTAAAATTGCTGAAAATCTGAAATGTCCTGAACCAAAATGTTTGTCATCAAAATTGAGGGACACACTAAGACAACTGAACCTCAGTATCAGGTTGTGGCACTCGTGGATGAAGGCCATCCTGATGTCCTTGTGACATGGCAACACTCTGCTCCTGAATCACAGAAATTAAGATGGGTAAACAGTGACTGTAAATGACATGAACACTTGGGGCTACGGGAAAGCCAGGACAGCTGCATGGTTCTAACCGGCTCCCTGGCATTTTTTCCAGTTTTTACTGGTACATTCCTTCATCCACTGTAGTACATTTGGGCTGGACTTCGTTCAATTGCCGCTTAGTCCGGGTTAACAGTATATTCTTGTTGTTGTGTGAATGCTTTCCTAGATGAGCTGAAGCTTTCCTCTGCCACAAGGCTGATGTCCTCACAGAGGCAAAGAAACGATTAAACTATTAGAAAAAGTGTTTTCCCACTTGGGGTGTACCTTCCAAAATCTCTAGTGAGCGAGGCACCCACTTCACTGAGAAAAATGTATGAGCTTTGATGGACAACCTTGCAAACTTCTTGGAATTATCATTGGCCATATCACCCTCAATTTTCAGGCAAGGTTGATAGAACTAATGGAAAACTAGAATCAGGCGAACCAAGTTTAATTACACAGGATTGAATGGACAGATAAGAAGGGTCATAATTTTATGACTTTTTACTTAAAATATTGCTAATTTTTAAAATATTGTTTTCCAGATAACAGAAATTTTTCTTCTTTACACCTTTGTTATGTTTCTCTCTAAATGATCCCTCCAGACTTTGCAAACTCAATAATTGAGTAATTTTATTTTCATGGCTATATATATATATATATATATATATATATATATAGCGCATATGTTCAATAGGAATCTGTTCTCTTTATAACAGGACACAATTGGAAACTAGATATATTACGGGGCTTTGATTGGAATGTCATATTTGAGAGAGAAATGCCTAAGCTCATATATGACTAGAAAGCTTTAAGGAATTAAGACTGATTTTGAAAGCCAATAAAAACAGTCAATAAAAAAAGGTACCAGCTTGAAAAAACAGTCTGGTACCTTGCTAACCGTGGTTCACCGTAGTCTTTCCAGATAAGGAATGAAAGTTGCTTCCTGGGAGATGCAAAGAAAGAAACTCAGGATATTTTGGGAACCCTGAGAAGAAAGGAATTAACCCCAAATCTAGAGTTAGTGTAGGCAAGGTCTGATGGCTAGTATGCAGCTTGGCTTCTTAGCTTCGAGAGAACTTTAAAATTCAATCTGAAGATTCCTTCCAAAAAAGTCCAGCAAAGCCAATTTAAGAGAGCCTATGTAGTTGATTACTACTCTTGCTGGACTTATATCAGGCCAAGTTTATTGAAACTAGACTTACTTTGCAAATAAATTCGTTTCCTTTGGCTATCTTTGACAAAAAATGAGGGTCATTTTAGAGAGAAAATTGTTTCAATAGAAACTATAATATACCTCGGTGGATATTAGGTTCTAGTGCTGTTTATTATCTTTTCAGTTAAAAAAAATTTTTTTCTGCCTATAAACTAAACTGGATCCTGAATTTTTATATTTTTCTTAAATATCTGGCTGCAGTCCTCCAAATTAACATATTCATTTTCCCATCTATTGACTCAGAATCATTGGGGACTGAAATTGCCTGTTTGCCAAGGCCAGGCAAGCTAAAGTGGGACAACTTAACGTAGACTTCGGAGAAATCATCACAACAATTCATCTATGTACAATCTTTGTTCCTGCTACAGAAAGATCACCACAGACAGTCAAACGTCGGACCAGGAAAATCTATCAGACTGTCGCTCCTACGCTCACGCCATATGAAGATGATTCAAAACAGACAACTAGAAATCTCAATCACCTGCCTTCAGGACTCAGAAACTGAGATTATAGTCTGCTCTAAACATGAAACTTTGTTTTTCTTTTGTTTCCATAGAGAGGCCTCTTACTAAATACCTGACTGTTTGCCCCATAGGCTTAACCTTGGCAGCCTACTTGCATCACTGCCTCCTGACATAACTGTTTACCTGAACTGAGCTTTCCTCAAGTCTGAGACTGGTTCAATGACATATAGAACAATCTAGCAACCCAACTTCTGCAGTGTCAGACTTCCAGGAAGTTTCAGACAAAAGTCACCCTAAGATGTGCTTCTGTGCTATGCAGATTGTTTTGAGCTAAAGGCAATTTTAGCCACAGGCTCAGGAGAAACTCTGCCCTCAACCCTTCTGTGCCTAGAAGAATTTGAATTAGAGGATTTACCCATAAGAGATTATCAGTGACATCCTTTCAACCCACCTTCATGGCAGGGCAAACTTTTATTCACTAAACATCTGCTCTTTCCTCATTCTGCCATGACCCTTTGAGTCCCCCAAGATGTATTTCCACACCCCTAGCTCAGGATGTTTTAATGCCTCAATCCCCCTTTCCATGCCAACCTCTCCTGCATGTGGGATCTCTGACTCTCCCATGTAAGCAGGATTCCCATTCAAGTGTATGAATTAAATTTGGTTATTTCTCTTGCTAATATGCCTCATGTCTATTTGATTATTAGACCAGCCAGAAGAGCCTTGAATAGAGGAAAGTTTGTTCTTCCCCCACGTCAGCATTATCGGTCTGGCCTCAGGACATGGCCTCTCTTGAGCCTGGGAAATCTGGCTTGGTTTGGTACTTTTGGATTGGACACAACCTGACCTCTAGTTAGAGGCGATGTGTCCAGATTTTGAAATTCAGATGCATAACATGTGGGATGCAAATTAATCTGTCTTCCTGTACTCAGTTTGATGTCGGACAAACAACTAATATACATGGTTACAGAAGAGCAAACCCCCATTGATTTGTACATTCCTAACTTGAAACGTATGCAATGTAGTCTGGATAAAGCAAATCTCACCTCTGCCCAGAAGGCAACGCTGTTTAAATTGTTAACATGTTGGAGGTGAATTGCTTGAATATTTTTAATTGAATTACCTAAGAATTACTTAAAAAAACAGATGAGGAAAACAGAATATCCTTACCAATTAGTAGAGCTTCTTTCTCTGATTTTAAGCCTTGACTTCTTTTCTCAATGTTGTTCTCTCGGTCTTGGTTGACCAATGCGACTGTCAACACATTGATTTCCTATAAAATTAAAAAACAAATAGATATTTATGTAGATTCTGTGCATTTCAGTAAAAGCACCAGGTCCCTTAAACTCTAAAAAAGAGGTCATCACTTACATTTATAACTGTAGATCAATTTTTATAAGTAATTGCTCTATTTGCCCAGTGGTAGAAAATAATTCTAGAACTTAGTCTCCTGACGACAGCTCCCAGAAAACCAAGTAATTCTCTGCAAAACTGGCAATTTGGTGCAAATTATCTTAGGTTTTTGTCTATGTTCTTGTTTACTAACTGTTACCAAAAATGATATTTGACTGTAGCAGCTTTAACAAGTTTTATTTCAAATATGACAAATTTTCTGAAAAGCATACACAGGCTGATTTATAATTCTATGCCAGTGTGTGTGTGTGTGTGTGTGTGTGTGTGTGTGTGTGTGTGTGAACAGGGCCCATTGTGAAAGGGAGATAGAGTTGTTAGGAGTGTTTAAGTTGAGTAGGTATATATCCTTATACACAACTGCAAACAGTAGATAAAGAAAATGTTGGGCAATTCTTTTCTTTGGAAACTAAAAATGAAGAATTGTACAACAAACCAATAACATATGCAATATTGAGGCTTGGCTATTTTTAGTTCTTTCTATAGTCTTTTTTTATTTAAAATCAGAGAAGAAAGATTTAACTCATCCTTTCAGACTTGATATTAGGACTCAAAATAGAGAGTGATTTAACAGAAAGTCAAGTTTAATTATCAGAGACCTGCATATAAGGGGCAGTAGAATCATTAGGGTAGTTGAATCCTGTTGGGGGGAAATTTCTTACTGATAGATAGGTCTCAAGGAAGAATTAGTATATTTAGCAAAGAGTTAAGGATAATGTTCTAATAGATAGTAGGGGATCTGCCAGAGGACACGGGATAGGTAGGTAGGAAGGAAGAAGAACTTAGAAAGTCTGGGCAAATGGTTTGGCAGGTGTTACCAGGACTGGAATTGGCTATAGGATATTTAGCTAGTTACTGCAAATTAACAAAATTGGCCAGGTAAAAGAATACAGGAGATTTTTGGGAATAATGTTGAGCATATAAAAAACACAAGTCCCATCTGAAGGCATTCAAATAAAAAAGAGAAGGAAAAAATAAAAATAGATCAGGGCATGCCAATAAAAATAGATCTATGACCTGCCTTTAATTTACGATCTACTACTTTGTAAATCAGGGATAATCATAAATTCCCAGGAAAGAAGGTCCTGTTGAAAAATTGCAGTTACTAAAGCAACATTTGTTGAGCATGTTGGAGGCTTCTCTAAAGGTCACACTTACCTGCTGAAGACTGAGTGATCAAGTCTGAGTGAAAAGTGAAGATAGGTAAGGTAAAGGACTGGGAACCAGTGCTGTGACAGGTCACAGGGAAGGTTTTGGTGGACTAGAGGGTACCAACTGGGGCCTGAGGCTGGTGGTAGGAATGTGCCCATGAGGACAGGGGTCAGAAAGTTTTGGGAAATGGGCTAAGGAAAGTGTGGAGCCAGAGGAACATAAAAGGTCATTAGAGAAGAAAAATGTCTGGTAGCACATTATAAAACTTCAAATGGACAGTTGCCAAAACCCCTCACAGTAGGGACAGATGCACCATAATAGTGAACATTAAGGTAGCACATTCTCAAGGACATCAGAGGACACAATCAGTTTATGCTTCATATTTAACTTTGGAGAAAACATGGTCCAATTCTTAAGTCCTATCTTAAGAGTTTCGTGTTCTCTACATAGGATGTTCTAACTTATCTAGTTAACAATTGGGCAACACATTTTACTGGGACACTGGATCATGAGTTAGCAAGGCTTGTCCCTTTCTTAAAAACTTCACTGTCCTTATTACTTCCTCCCATCCCAAACCTTGAGACAGTGGAAGGAACATGAGAATGGGAAAGGTTCATTATTAGAAATACAAAAATTATGAAGATCCTTTTTATTTATCCCATTAAAATCCTTTTCCAATAGATCTAATATGCCCTGAAGAATGATATACCTACTAGATGTTCTGGAAAAGGCTCCAGATGCATAGCAACTGAAAACTGGACATGGATAAGAGTGGAGGGGGCTGGAGGTAAGGGAGGTTACTAAGAACAAATTGTTAATGGTGTGCAAAGTACACAGAGGGAAAGAACTTTGGGATTGGGGGATCAAGAGTTTCCTCGCAGTGAGGTCAACAGGAGTATGAAATAGAATTCTAAGGAAAGTGGTAAAACATCATTCACCTACAGACTGAGAAGCACTCGAGACTAGAAATGCACCATAGGTAACAGCTCTGCACGGGGGAGAAGAATGGACAAGATTATCTAATAAGTCTTCTCTCTTACCCTTGACTGTAATTTCTGTGACAGCTAGAAGAAATCACTAAAGGGCTGGAAGAGGTTTTCAATAACTAGAAACTAGATTTCATGGCTTTTTTTTTAAAGACTTCTTAAAGAGTTAGCTACTTGAAGTCAGAAATTTCCCCTCGGAAGTGTCCTTACCAATTACTTTGAGAAATGATACTTTTAGGAAAACTCTTTTCCAATAATTTACTGAGCTAGAATTGTACTTTGTTGTTGTTTTGTTTTTGTCCCTCTCTACCCACCCAAGCCCCCAAGAACCAAGAATAATGGTTTCCCGATATTATAAAATCCTTTCATTTTTCCCTTCATTTCATTATTCCTGTGGCCTCCTTAACTTTGGTGTGGTTTGCTCTCTACTGCAAAGCTTCTTGAACATGTGGTGTCTACCCACTGTGTCTACTGCCTCATCACTTGAAATCTCAGCTTTCTTATCAGTCACACCAGGAAACTATCCTTTAAAAGATTTTCAGTGACTTCTGTATTTTCTCAGCCCTCTTACCATGTGATACTTGACATCAGCACCTCTTAACCATCTGCATCACTTGCTTCTGTTACATAAGATGTCCTGGTCTTTTTCTTCCTAATTTTTTTTAGCCTTCACTGGCTTTTTCACTCCCTCTGCTGGCCCAGCAGACATGGAGAAGGTAGCTTTCTTCTTCTTATGCTCTAACTTTGGTACTTGCCCAAGGTCAGTCACCAACTTTTCTTCTCTTTTCCCTTTTATCAGAATACTTTTATTTTCATGGGTTCAACTATCATCACACTTAACTTTTTAACTGTGTCTTATCATCACCTGACCATTGGGCTTGTCTGCTTGAATCGATCACTGCCCAGTTCAAATTCAAAGTGAGAGTGGGTAGGGGAGACAGACTTTAGCTGTGGCTCTTTCGCTAGGAACTGGCTGACCTTGGCAAGCCCTCTCCTTCTTAATTGTATTTTCACACACAGTACAAGCCCCGTATCTCTCAGAGGCATTTATTCCAAGCTACTTGCAAGGTTTCCTTATCTCAGCACATTTCCTTTGTCACTTATGTAGCAGTTGATCACTTACATGGTTAGACAGAACTGACTTTCACCGGAGTTTGTTTTTTCAACAAAACCAGCAATTCCTTTAGGGCAGTCACAATACCTGACAAGGTGAAGCAGCATGGCCAAGTGGAACTGTGTTCTGATTCTGTTGCTGTTCTTTATGTGTCAGGTAGGGCATCTCTTAACTCCCTCTTATGTAAGACATGCATAAGAACCTATGCCTGTCTACTACCCAGAGCTACTGTGAGGACCAAATGTCAAACGTGAGATGGTGCTTTTGAAAATTGTAAGCATCTATGAATATATTGTGGCATCATTATTACCAATATTATTCACAGGACTGACTGGATAACAACAGCTGCATAATACATACTTGGGGTACAGAATCCATGTAAAAAGTAAGTATTAAACTTTGACTGCAATCATCTAATCATATTACCCATCAATAAAAGGGTAATATGCTAATTAGACCAGGAGACCTTCCGGGAGACCTTCCCGATGTCCTTCCGGACAAAGCCATGGTGGCAGAGGCAGTTAGGGGCAATCAGGCTGGCAGGGGAGGGCAGGTGGGGGCGAGCAGACTGGCAGGGGGGTCAGTTGGGGGTGAGCAGGCCAGCAGCAGGGGGGCAGTTGGGGGCGAGCAGGCCGGCAGGGGGGCAGTTAGGGGTGATCAGACCAGAATGGGGAGCAGTTGGGGGCGATCAGGCCAGCAGGCAGAGTGATTAGGGGCAATCAGGCAGGCAGGCAGGTCAGCAGTTAGGAGCCAGTGGTCCCAGACTGCGAGAGGCAGTTTAGGCCCGATCCTGCAGGGATCCCTGTAGGATCGGGCATAAACCGGCAGTCGGACATCCCCCAAGGGGTCCCAAATTGGAGAGGGTGCAGGCTGGGCTGAGGGACACCCCCGTGCATGAATTTTGTGCACTGGACCACTAGTCTATATATATAAAAGGCTAATATGTAAAGTGTCCCCTTGGGATTTTGACCAGGAGACCGGGAGTTTGATCGCTTGCTATGATGTGTGCTGACCACCAGGGGGTGGCATGGAATGAAGGAAGGCCCTGGCCGGCAGCTGGAAGGCCCCTATAGGCTCTGATCGCCCGCCAGGCCTACGGACACTACCCATGCACGAAATTCATACACCGTGCCTCCAGTATAAAATACGTATGCAAAAATATACACACAAACTGTGGTAGTGTTCAAACAGTGCATATTTTCTATTTTCTACATGTTCTGTGGCAATGCTGTTGTACTGCTATCCTTATAATTTAAAAATAAATAAGAAGAAGCCAATGACATACAGATGTCATTTTAAAGAGCTACAGGTAAGCATAGAGTGTAGCTGACTACTTCATTGAATAACACACTGAGCGACACTCCACTACACATACACAGTAAATAAGGACACTACAATGTGACCTCCTCTGTGGGCCTCCAAGGGCTACAGCTACTAGTGCAAGGTGAGTGGGACAGTTGTCAGGATCTGCTTGGTGAGGATTCACCAGCTCACCTCCGCCTCTGCCAACACCATCACAAGGCTCTTCTCATTCCTTCTCTACTTTCCTTGTTCCACAGCCTCATTTTTGCTGTTTGCTTCTAAATCCTGCTCTTAAATATTACACTCCAC